AGGAACACGATTTTACAGCACAAAGAGTTGCAAAGGAGGATGTCTTGAGAACTTACAGATAACAGGATTTGAACAAGCATAATACAAAGGCAGACAGCAGGTTAATGATCTACACGGCATGACATTTCAAGGTAGGGAGTCAATTCAGATCCCAGCATCAGAGTTTATGAGGCGCCACTGAAGTTTCAGAGAGGGTTGTTATCTGGACAGGGAAAGCCAGGCATGGGTGAGTTCAAGGCATGGGCGGGAATTCCACACAAGTTTAGAAATTGCAGTAATTTATACTAAAACAGAAATTAACTTTTCATGACTTTTTGGCTGGAATTGGGCTGGGTTCATCCCCACAAACCTATCCGAGGCAGCACACCAGGGGCCAGCGACACACACTCACCATCAGTGATGGAATCCTTATTTGCCATCTGGATTTCACCAGTCTCCACTGTCCTAGGTAGAGCTCTCTAGAGGCAGCCCAGTGACCTCCTAAGTCAACGCTGGGGGGGGGGGGGGGGGCGGGGCACGGGGAAGGGGGGGGCGGGCGGGGGGGGGGGGGGATGGGGGTGGGGGAAGCAGAGGGAGGACGCCATCCCAAGCAGGGTTCTCAGGAGGGGCTTCCGCGGTCCCACCGGGGACTTTTGGATTGTAAATCACACTCAGAGTCCGCCACCTCTGCAGGGGACCTGGCCTGTTCCACTCCACCCCAGGCGCCGGCTGGCCCAGCCCCTGGGTGGACGGAGCACAGTACCCCCCAACGCTTCCGCCCCTGGGCTGCAGCTTGGAAGCCCTGGGAAGAGAGTCCCAGGTGTGGACCGTGGCAAGCACAGGCCACCGAGTAGGAGCCGGGCAACCAACCGCAAGAGGGCGGCCCCGCGGGGGGCGCAGCTCAGCGAGAGGACGCTCACTGGGCATGCGCAAGGCCTGGGGCTCCAGCACCCCACGTGCTCCTTCCTGCCTTCCCTCCTTCCCTTTCCACACCTCCGACCGCGGAGGAGCTGGATGCAGCCTGGCTAGTGGGGAGGGGAGACTCCAAGAGGCAGAAATGGTGGGCACGTGGGCGCCCGGTAGGCTACGACCTAAGGACTTGTGCTCTGCAGACGGTGGGCCCGTGCTCTCCCGACCCCTAAGCACCAATCTGGCCAGGGAGCCTGCCTTCTTGTTCTGCTCGCACATGGACACGTGGCCCCCATGACCGCACTGGCGGGAGGGAGACTGCTGGACCACGCATTGGCTTTTCAGCAGGCTTCAACACAGGTGTGACAACCACATGTCACTGGGCAGAAGGAGTCACAACTGTTCTGCCCAACGACTGCAGGGGCCCAGAAAGAGGGAATCCGAATGGTACATTTAGTGAACGTTATGCCCGCTGTGGTTTGTTGGTTGGTTGGTTTTTGCAGTGCCAGGGGTCAAACCTTGGTCAAACAATGGCTTCACGCACCATGGGAAAGCCCTCCGCCATTGAGCTATGTCCCCACCCAACCTTCCTTCTTCACCACAAGCTTTGAAGGGTAGCTCAAGCCTGAACTTCCTGAGAAAAAGTCTTAAATCAAATGAGAAAGTAAAACTTAGTAACTAGATTTGACCAAATAATTTTGGAAAGGCTATGAGACTGTGTTTATCAGCAAGGCAGGTGGAAAATATTTTACCTGGCACAGCACATAGGTAGTTATGTGAAAGAATAAGTTTTCTGACCAAAAAAAAAAAAAAAACTGAAAATAGCCAAAATACCTAACTGTGTAGTACTGGCTAAGTAGATCATATATTCATAGATTGGTAGGTCATTAAGCCATGCTTCCTGGCATAGTCAAATGTTCATAACATAACATAGGGCTGGGGCGTGGCCCAGGATGCCTAGCATGTACAAGGTCCTGGGTTCCATGTCTAGCACTGAAAAATTTTAAAAACCATAATATAATGTAAGTGGCAAAGTCAAGAACTGAGAGCCATAGCCGAGTAGGAATGACCCATGGCATTTTTGCCAGAACAGAGTGGTTGAGAGGTGATGCCAGCAAGCCATTGAGATGATGATGGTTATGTTAAGCTGTGTATTCAATTGTTTATTAGACCCCTGCTGTCCACCTTGGCCTGCTACTTTGGAGTTCTCACAGGGATTCCCGGAGAGTTCCCATTGGTTGGAGAAGTGCCGGAGGAGGGATTTCAGGTTGGTGTGTGGTGTGTCCTGGGAGAACGCTGCGTGCATGGCGTTCAAGGGAGTGCAGAGAATAGAGGAGTTCCTGTTTTGAACCTACAAGGCTGTCTGGCGGCTGGGTTATTTTGTGCCCAGCCAGACTGCGGCATGTGTGAGAATCTGCCATCTCCTCCCTGGATCACTGTCAAGACCCTGGTAATCTTCCTCCATCCCGTCTGCCCCTCCAACACACTCTTTTAAAAGGCAGCTAGACACTGTCTACAATTGAAAGCTGCTGTCCCACCCTGGTCCCCAGGGTCAAATCTTGATGATTTACCTGTCTCTTTTTCTGGTCAAGCCTCTTTCTCCAGCTTGATTTTCCTCAATTACCCACCATTGCAGCCCAAACAGTTCCTCTGAGCTCCAGATGTGTATAGACCACTGACATCCTCCCGGTGTCTTACGAGGGTTGTCTTAGAGTATCGCCAACTTGACATGAAAACTAGAATTTTCTTTTTTAAGTTCTCACTTAAAATTGAACCTCCAATTCCCTCCAAGTTTTGTCCTTTGCCATTTTTTTTTTCTAACTCAGCAAATGAAACCGCTACCCACCTGGCCAGCAAAGCCAGAAGTTCCAGAATCATTCTTTTGAGTTTCAGCTCCTTCCTGATTTCAGCCTGCAGTTGGCTCTTCCTGGTCTCCCCAGTTCCTCACTACATCACTGTATGCCAGTCCCTCGAGTCCCATCTCTCTACAGTGACCTTACCCCGCTGACTTTCCTGACAGAAATTCAGATCCAATCTCTATGTTCCCATGTCCTGACAGCAAGAAAAATTGCTGCTCTGCTGTGTCAGCAGTCTCCTGGCCTGTCCTCTCTCCTCCTGGGATTGGTAAAGTGCTCAGCAAAGTTTCTCAAACCTCATCAACCCCGTCAGTTGAACCCACTCCAGTTCATTTCTAGTCATCAATTTCTAATTGTCGTCAGTGTCAGGACGGATCTCCTATCAGCAGACAAGCTCGCTCATCAGACCTAGCAAACACCTCTGGTGCCAGAGCCAAGACGGGTGCCTCTGGCATTGCAACCTGCTGGTCTTGGGCACTTCAAGCTCAGCTAAAGTCTCGTTCCCTATCCTTACGAAATCGCAAACCTCTGTGGACCACATACTCATTCACCGGGATCACAGTCCTTCTCAGCCAATCCTTTGAATTGCTAAGATCATGATGTCAACTGTCCTTTCCCAGAAATTCTGCCCTGTTCTCCTCACTGCCCTTGGGGTAAAGGTGTCCCCACCCGGCATGCTATTGGGCATGCTCATCATTCCTGATCATCTCCAGTCTCAAGATGTTTCAACCATTTACCCTCAACTATGTCCCAATCTATGAATACGTGTCACTGGGCACATCCTAGTTTGCCTGCCAAGTCTCAGTGCTACCTCCTTCAGGAAGTCCTCCCTGGTTCTCCCAAGCAACACCAGCCTACACAGACACTCAGCGTTTCCAGATCTGTTTCTTCACTGGGCAAACTTGCTGGAGATGGTCAATGTCTTATTCATTTCAGCATCTCCAGGACTTGGTGGAACCCTCTTCAGAGGGCTGGTTAATACGTGTGATGACTCATTTCCCAGGTTCCACCCATTCCCTCATGCATTGTTCTCCTGCCAGTCTCATGAATTCTTGGAACCTGGGTCACCTTTCCTGCCCTTCCTGGTGGGTATGCCGGTCCCCCTTCCCCAGTAATCAATGCTATGTCCATTGCGATGGCAGGAGTTCACAGGCGACAGAACACCTTGACTGGCTTGTCTCTGCTGGTCAGAAGCTTTCCAGGAGAGAGAAAGCTCAGGGTTGGAGGTAGCAGGGTTCTTAACTGTTTTATGTACCATGAATTCCTCTGGCGTTTCATGAAGAACGTGAACTCCTCCTCAGAATGATATTTTCAAATGCACAGTAAAGGGCACATTGATCACAAACCCAATCAAGATAAAAAAGTGCTTATTAAAATATTGGAAAATGCACACATACATCTGCACTGTTTATATAGATGACGTGTTATGTGATATAGGTATACATATCAATATCAAGATCTAATGATGTAGGTCTAATAACTACCATAATTTAAAAGTGATGCCCAGAAATGATCATTTGAGATGTCTGTCACCACCGTAATGTGGTAGGAAATACCTGTGACTTCTGTTGGTGACACAGTTGCAGGGACTCCCCATACCACTGGGGTTTGTGGCTCACATCCACAGTGAGAGGGGTGCTCATTCCCAGTTTGAGATCAGGAAAACTAAAGAACACGTCTTTTGCTATCCAAGTCTAAGGACACCCTAAATTCAGCCATGGAACCCAGGTTAAGAACCCCTGAGTGGTGGTTGAGAGGCATGGCAGACAAATCCTTTAGTGATGACAGTGATGGCAAGTGGTCAGCTTCTGTGTGACCGTTGATTGGTTTACAGGCAGCTGGGTGATGGGGGGCAGTGGACACAGCACTGTAGAAGGTCTAAGTTGGAACTCCTCAGGTATCACTGATGTTGAGATTTGACCTGACCCTTCCCAGGCCCAGGGGCGGTTTCCTCATCTGTAGGGTGGGAAAGGTGATTTTTGCTCACAGGTCGCTGGGACCACTCAATCTGCTAATACGGAGGTTCATGAATGCTTGTGGTTAGAAGACCGTGGTATTGGATGTCTACAGAGAACATGCCACACACAGTCATTCTGTCTCTCTCTCTCTCTCTGCCATGCATAAACCCCAAAGTTTGATCTGCTGTCTGACCTTGGGCAGCACCCTGTGCTTGGAGGGGAAACCCTTTCTTGCTGAGTCAAGGTGAGTAAGCACGCCCTGCTTCCCCTGCAGTTCAAAAGAACAATGTCAAACACAAATGTCCTTGTTATTTTATTAGAAGCATATTTACATTCCCAGAGTTACCTTTGCAGAGAACATTTTACAAAAGTTTTATATAAACTTTGGAAACTACATAAAAAATAACTTCTGTCCTTCATAAAGAGAAAATATAAGTTAGTTATATTTACTCTGCTAAAAATAGAGATACATTTCCATCTGTCCGTTGCACAGAAAAAGTTAGCATAGGGCATGAGGAATACTGCGTGGCCTTCTCAGCCATGGCTTTGCACATGGGCCCGTCTATGAGGCTGGGAGGCCAGGCCAGCCGTCATTCAAAAAGGCACAGGAGCGCTCTCAGCCACCTCCTGAAGGACAGGGTCGAATGAATGAGAAGGGAACAGGGGTGCGCACAGGGAGGGGCACTCGAGATGGCCGGAAAGGCCTGAGACCAGCAGAAACTGGCGTTTCTCCCAATCCTCATTCTCTAGTCAGAGGAAATACTGTCAACTGTGCACCAAACACCCCTGCCTGACCGTGTCTGCCGGCCTCTCCTGGGGACCTGTCTCTCTCTGCGGTCACACTGTCACCAGTTCGCCTTTCCCAGCCCCTGACACCCAAGAGAACAGAAAGAGACGACTGATTTGCTTGTCCCACTGTGAGAACTGAAAGGCCACCCTCCGGGTCAGATACGGAAGCAGCTGGACGCTCACTGACCAGAGAACCACTGCCTTCCCGGCCTCCTGCGCTTCCTGATGGCATAGTGAGGATGTGGGAACCCTGGTCCTTTGTCCTGTTCAATGGCTGCCCCTTCCTTCCCAAGCATGCGGTTATCATCAGTGCTCAGAAAACATCAGGGACTGCTTCAGAGGAACCACGTATCGAACCCCAGCCCAAGAGGTGACAGAGAAGAAAGTCCTTTTGGGTTGTCTCAGCCATCTGTCACCAGCAAGACAGCACCCCGACTGCACATGCCCATCCGGGTCCTGGACATGAACCCTGCCCAGATGTGGTTCAGAGCCGGTGTCTTCCTGAAGAAGCCGCACGTGGCGTATACAGTCGGGCGCAGCAGTTAGAGATCGAGGTGTAGGGAGTCTGCACGCTGGTGGCAGCTGGTGGGCAGCATCTGGAGAGGCCAGCCCAGGACTGGGGGGCCACACCCTTTGTTTGTCTGTGTTCCTGGGGGGGCAGGCGTCCCATCCCCCACCACACCCCACGCCTTTTCTCCTAGAGAGAAGTCCAGCGACTGCCAGGCCTGTTTGAAATGTAGGCTGGGACTCCTGGACATGGACCCCAGGCAGAGAAAAAGGCCCCTCCAGGGCACCTGCAGACGGGGGCAGGGGTGGGGAATGGAGGAGGGAGAGGTTCTGCAGGGAAAGCCTGTGTGGGGCCCTGCGAGGGGCACACTGGCAGCACAGCCTGTGCCTTCTGTGGTCCTCTGGTGCCAGCACGTTCCCTATCAACTGTTCCACTGGACACTTCCGGTGACATGGCCCAGGCAGCAGGCCCACTCCACCCACCTGGCACAAAAGGCCAGGGGCCAGCCTGCGGGGGCGCACAGGAAGGGGCACTGGAGATGACCGGAAAGGCCTAAGACCAGCAGGAGGGACATCTCAGGACTCCCCATTCCCCACCCCTGCCCCCATGTGCACAGGGTCCGGGGAGGCAGGGAGTAGGGACACCTGGCCCAGCTGGCCCTGTCCTGGCCCTGCTGGGAGTGGAAAGAGGTGTCAGGGTTCCTGTCTGACATGGCAAGGAATCACTGAAAACCACCAGGTGTGACGAGGGGGATGAGCCATGGTGGCCTCACAGGCAAAGCTTTGTCCCCGCAGAAAACACAACTGTGTTTTGGCAAACAGGAGGGACCTCAAGGCCACAGCATACCCACTGCTCAGGGACCTGACACCACCACAACCCAAACCACTTACAGCCTGATGGAACCGGGGTCTCAAGAGGACACACATGAGGGTCAGGTGACACACAACTCCCTGCCCTCCAGGGACAGGTGGGAGGCCAGGACACGGGGCAGGTCAGACAGGCACGGGGCGGGGGTGGGGGCAAGAGCAGAGGCTGGGGTGGCGCTGGCACAGGAGCAGGAGGGAGGGGTCCTGAGTTATGTGTTCACAGAGGGTGGGACCCCGCAGGCCCCGCAGCCCCGGCCCGGGTTGTTAGGACGCATCCGAAGCACCGTAGGGGAGGAACTTGGAGGTCTTGCTCGGGGTGGTGGGGCTCGGGCACCCGGCCTCCTCGCCCAGCTTGAAGAACATCTCCTGCTCCCGCTTCTTCTGGTTCAAATCCTCTTCCAGAGCCTGGGGGACAGAGGGAGGTGGCGGTCAGTGGCCCCTGCTGGCATGGCTTTCTCTGAAAGCCCCTCCCAGACCCCAGTGCCCGTATTAAGGTCCTGCCCTGTCCCCTGCCAGAGGCTCCTGCCTCCTCCTGCCACTTCTCCCTCTCGGGAGCTTCTCACGGGCTGAGGGACACAGTTTGGGGAAATGCCATTCTAGAAGAGACAGGGCCGGCAGATGCAAACCTCCGGCCGGAGAACAGTCAGATCCATCTAGAAAAACTCAAGTTATTAAGACGGAGAGTTCAACAGCAAGGTGGGCAGAGATGTCGTGTCAGGGTGACAGTGTCGGAACCAGGGCCTGGAGCCACAGAAATCACACAGGGAGCTTTGTCACAGGACTGTGCCTTTCAGGGCCCGAGTCTAAAGGTATGTTAGGAGCAGAGTCTCTGTGGTGCAAGAACCCCAGCCCTTTTTCTATTTTATTTAGAGAGAGATCTCACTGAGTTGCTTAGGGCCTCCCTAAGTTGCTGAGGCTGGCTTTGAACTCCCGATCCTCCTGCCTCAGCCTCCTGAGCTGCTGGGATGACAGGCTCCCAGGCGTCTCCCAGGAAGACTTCTTAAGGGCTTTCTAGTCATCTGCATTCAAGTCAGACAGGAAGCAAAGTAGAGTGGAAGGAGCGCAGGCTGGCTATTCAGACCGCCTGACAGACCTCCCAGTTTTTCAGAGGAAACCAGAAGTCCAGATTTTTTTTTTTTAATGTAAAATCTCCACAGAGGTTGAGAACCTCCAAATAATTCTGTAAGTCACTGTTGGCCAAACATCATGTGTCCGTCAACTATCCCAGCCCACAGGCCCTCAGCTCATGACCTCTGCTCTAGGAATACTCAGTTAACAGTAACAGGTGATACTTTGTGAGCACAGAGTAGTTTAGCAAGTTACCTGAGATCTAACAGTTAGGACAGGTCAACCATCCCTTCTCCAAAAATCCCAAATCCAAAGTCACTCGAAAATCCGTGACTCTGAGGCAGAAGTAAAGTTTGTCTTGCTCTGAACACTTTCAAGTGCCGGACGTGATGCCACAGACGGGAAATTCCATTACCTGACCTCACAGGACAGGTGGCTCACAGTCAAAAGACAGGTGCGCTGGAAGTCTCATATAAAATTACCCTCGGGGAATGTGGCAGAGCGCTTGCCTAGCCTGTGTGAGGTCCTGGGTTTCATTCCCAGCACTACAAAAAACAAAAACTAAAACACCACAACACAAAACCAAAAATACTCCAAAATTACTTCTGGGCTCTGTGTATAAGATAAACATCAAACATAAATGGATTTTGTGTATTTTGTGTTTAGTCTCTCATCCTGTCCCCAGTATATCTCATTATACATATGCAAATATTCCCAAATCAGAAAGTCTAAAACACCACACTCTGGTCCCAAACATTTCAGATACAGGACATGCAACATGTGGTGGTGAAGCCGGGACCCCATCCACACCTGTCTGGCTGCAACACCACGGCTCATAGGCACTGCTCTGTTCCACCTCCTCTGTGCCAGCTCCTAAGGCCACGTCAGCAATCCCCTCCCTGCGGTGAGTCACGTGGCAAAGGCAGTGGGCTTCACAGGCCACACAGTTTCTATTCCAACTGCTCAGCTGCCACCGTGGTGCCAAGTCAGGTACAGACAAGGCATAAGTGACCAAGTACAGCTGTGCTCCAGATGTGGCCCTCAGGCAGCAGTGTGTGAGCACCTGCTTCAGGGAAGCAGTATTATGTACATTTTACAATTGAAAAGGCAAGGCCAGGCGTGGTGGCACATGCCTGTAGTCCCAGCAGCTTGGGAGGCTAAGGCAGGAGGACTTCAAGTTGGAGGCCAGCCTCAGCAACTTAGCGAGGCCCTCAGCAACTCAGTGAGACTCTGTCCAGTGGGGATGTGGCTCAGTGGTTAAGTGCCCTGGGTTCAATCCCTGGTATGAAAGAAAAGGCAAAGTTCAGGGGTTGGGGGAGGGGGCTTGACTTGTCCCAAGGCCTCATTATGAGTTAACAATGATCTAAGCAATGTGTATTTACCCTACCAGGTGTTCTGTGCTTACTTGAAAGAAACCTGAATTTTTCTTTTTTTCTTTGTTTTTGGTACTAGGATTGAATTCAAGGGCATTCGACCACTGAGTCACATCCTCAGCCCTATTTTGTATTTTATTTAGAGACAGGGTCTCACTGAGTTGCTTAGTGCCAAGCCATTGCTGAGGCTGGCTTTGAACTTGCGATCCTCTTGCCTCAGCCTCCTAAGCCCCTGGGATTACAGGTGTGCACCACCACGCCTGGCTGGAATCTGAATTTTTTAAAAAAAGTACTGCACAGTATACAATCATTTTCTCAAGGGAGGGGGATCAAGGCTGCTTGTTGGAACACAAGAGCATACAAGACCACGTATTCCAGAATGTACACCGTCGCCCCCTGGTCATTCCAGCAGCAGTCCAGGGAGCTATTCACAGAAGAATTCTACAAAGCATTCTGCAGAGGCAGCCTCCCCAGGCAAAAGCCAGTGCTAGCACCCCAGCCACACACTGGTGCCTCCCTAGAGCCCAGGCCCCCCACAAGGCATCCAGGTCCAAGAAAGCTGCCAGAGGTCAAGAGATGGTCATTTTCACTCTCAGGGTACCGATGCCCAGGTAGGAGCACAGGTGAGAGCTTACTGCCTGAGGCCAGGGTCCACTCTTAGTAGCAGGAACATTATTTAAATGTCAAGTCCCAGGCAGCTATGGCTACAGAAACCCAGGAGCCTGGCCCGCCAACAGGAAGGTCTGGCCTGGCCAGCTTCCAGCCAGAAATCTCCCATAGCAGGAAGGGAAGCCTTGATTCAAGGACCTGCCAGGCTACCGTGTGGCAGAGGTGGACAGCTGTCCCCTGTCCAGACCACAGGCCCAGCAAGCAGAATGGATGCCTGATGCCTGAGCAAACCAGGACACATGGGGACGAGATCAAGCGCAGTCAGGGCAGCTCCTCTGAGTTTAGGAAGAGGCGTGTCCTCTGCCGTGGGCTGATGGTTTTCTTTGTGTTAAGATTGTATAAAACTGACCTCTCCACTTAGAAATGACCCCACTGAGGCCCCGTGGTGGCTCGTCTTACGTGACAACTTGGCGAGGTCATGGCACTCGCTGGCTTGGCCAAACACCAGCCCAGATGTCACTGGGAAGGTGTTTCAGGTGTGACTGACGTTTGAATCATGAACCTTTCAGGAAAGGCAGATATCTCCGTAATGTGGGAAGGCGCATTCGGTTAGTGGGGCCTTCAGAGAACGGAAGAGGGAGCTTCGCCTCCAGACTCCTGGGCCTCAGGACTGCACCTGCCACTCTTCCCAGGGCCTCCAGCCGGGGCCCGCCCTGCGGACACCACGGTCACCAGACCCACAGTCCTGTGAGCCATTGCTTTCCTTCCCTTTCTTTCTTCTTCCGGCTGTAGAATGACACAGTACTTTTATTCATTTATTTTTATGTGGTGCTGAGGGTCGAACCCAGGGCCTCACACGTGCCAGGCAAGCGCTCTGCCACTGAGCCCCAGCCCAGCCCACGTGAGCCATTAAACAAACCAACGTGGCTGGCCACAGGTCCTGACGTCGCTGGCCATCAGGAACTTCTAGAAAGCAGCACTTAGAGAGGAAAAGTGGGAAACCCCCGCCTCCCTGATCCCATTCTGGTGTAAGCCACCATCATTTCTGGTGCAGGTCACCACAGCAGTCTCTGCCCGGGCCTCTCCCTCCACCTGGGTCCCTACAGCAGCAGAGCCTGCCCGCCCAGTCCTCCCCCCAGGACCCTCGGGAGCATCCTGTCACACAGAATGAAAGCCAGGCCCTGCCCAGGCCCCACCCCTCTGGCCCCAGCTCCTGTGGCCTGGCTCCACCACTGACACTCGGCTGGGCCTCCAGCCTCCTCGTGGCCCCTCAACCACGGCAGGGCCTCGCCTCAGGGCCGTTGCTCTTTCTGCTTCCAGGGCTCGGAGTGCTCCCCCCCCCAGGTGGGGAGCCCCTTCCCTCTGACCCTCCCTCAGGCCTGTCAGTCACCATGCCCTCCGGAGGCTTCCTGCCCACCATCTGAGCCCCCACCCTCCCTGGTTCCCTTCCCTGCTCCTTGCCCTCTGCAGGGTCAGCTCCCTGAGGGCCGGACCTGTTTGTTCCCTGTGGGATCCTCAGTGTGAAAACCCTGCGGGGCACTTAGCTCGTGCCCAGGAAGAATTTGTTGCATGGAAACAAGCAGAGAATGAATGACCAAGCTAACGATGGCAGACCTCGGTGACCTCATGACAGGGGCAGGGGCAGGGGTCCTCAGAGCCCAGGATGGTCACCTGCACAGTCTAAGCCAGGGTGGCCAGCAAAGGCCTGTGGGTACTGAATTCCTGGCAAAGCAAAAGGAACGGTTTGGGCAAAAGCCCAGCAGAGAAGGAGGGCAGCATCCATGCTACTGGGAGCTATTTAGGTTCTGAAGTCACTCAGAGCCAGGGTGAGACTCACAGGTGGTGAGGCAAGAGCAGTGGTTCTCAAAGTGTGGTCCACGGACCCCCTGGGGAACCCTTTGGTTGTGGGGACCGTTACTGAAGCCAGAAAGCTTTTCTGAACAGTGACACATAATGTACCCTTTTCACTGTTTTCACATTTGTTCAAACAGTGCAAAAGCAACAAAGGGTAAAACTTCTGGAGCCTGAGGAGAAGGTAACACATCAGCACCTCATCACCATGTACACAGAGCTAAAAAAAATAAAATGAAATAAAGTGTTTTCAATTTAAAAAATAAAGCTGGGCTGGGATGTAGCCCAATGATAGAGCACCAGCTAGCATGAGCAAGGCCCAGGGCTCCATCCCCAACACGGAGGGGAAGAAAAAGCCAATATCCTGGAAACTGTGCCGAGCACCAACAGGAAGGCCTACCTTCAAGTTCGTGTTCTTTAGGGACATGGTGCAGCGCGTGGGCTGTGAGCCGAACCGTCTGCTCTGTCGTGGAACATCATCTTTATTTTTAAAAATGACTAACTGTGGATGTTTAGCACACACTTCCTTGAAAAGGAATAATCAATTCAAGGAAAGGAACTAATAGTGTGCACAGGATCTGAGCACTCCAGCAAAATCTAGAACTTTGGAAAACCGGCATCCACCAGCCTGAATTTGATATTGTCTCAGCACTTAAAGATCATTCCAATGAGGTCAGCAGTGATATCAATGGACATGACTTTTTTTTTTTTTTTTTGGTACTGAGGATTGAACTATGTTGGTGGCCATGCAACCAGGGCTGAGGCTGGGGCTCAGCAGTAGAGCATGCACGGGGCACTGGGTTCCATCCTCACCAACACATAAAAATAAAATATTGTGTCCACCTAAACTAAAAAATAAAATTAAAAAAAAAAAAAAAGAAAAAAAGGGGGGGGGGAGAGGAAAGGAAGGGAGAAAAGAAAAAAGCGTTGTCGCATTCTGGTGTTTTATCAAAGAATATATATAATTATCTGAAAGGCTATTGAAACACCCTCCCTTTCCAAACACATATCGTGTGAAACCAGATTTTCTTCATAAACATTAACCACGATAATGTATCTCAACATGCCGCTGCCAAGAAGAGCCCAGCCATCTGCTTCCAACTGGATAGCAAATAGACTTGCTGAATGTACAACAAGGCCAATCTTCTCTCCAATCTAGTTTGGAAAATGTGATCATTTTCACCAATATGTTTTATTTATGTAAACATGTAGTATTTATTATTTGTGAGTAATAAATATACTTTTAAAATTCTCAGCTAAAATGCTAAATATCCATAAAGATAAGCCCAAAGCTTTTGGGGGTTCTGAAATACTATTTATTTTTTATTTTTGGTACTGGTGATTGGTACTCAGTACTCAACCTCTGAGCTACATCCCCAGTCCTTATTTATTTATTGGTATTTATTTATTGGTATCTGGGATTGAACCCAGGAGTGCTTAAACCACTGAGCCACATCCTAGCCCCTCCCTCCCTCCCTTCCTTCCTTCCTTTCTGTATTGGCTATTGAACTCAGGGGCACTCAACCACTGAGCCACCTCCCCAGCCTTATTTTGTATTTATTTAGAGACAGGGTCTCACTGAGTTGCTTAGCGCCTCGCTAAATTTTTGAGCTCAGCCTCCTGAGCTGCTGGGATTACAGGCATGTGCCACTGTGCCTGGTCCCCTCTTTATTTTTTGAGACAAGGTCTTGCTAAGATGCTTGAAGTCTCCTAAGTTGCTGAGGCTCGCCTTGAACTTCTGACCTTCCTGCCTCAGCCTCCCAAGAAGCTGGGATCCCAGGCAAGCACCACTGTGCCTGGATCTGACTGACTTTTAAAGTGTCTACAGGTACTAGAACCAAAAGACTTGAGAATCACTGGGCAGGTGTTCACATAGTTGGGTGCCAGAGGGTCACAGGGGCAGGAGGGTGATGGGGGTGGGCGGCAGGAGCTAGCGTGAGTTAGAGGGCAGTTTGAAGAGATTGGGGTGGGGAGTGCAGCTGCTCAGGACGGCAGCAACAAGGGACGGAGACAGGGCCTGCTGAGCTGCTGAGGCTGGCCTTGAATGAAGGAGGATGCAGTGCCTGCCCAGCACACTGGGGCCCTGGATTCCATGCCCAGCACCGAAAAACATAAATAAATAAA